AAAATAAATACTTTTTTATAAATGAATTCTAGGGGTTTTGGGGGGGTCCCCCCTCATACAAATATTTTAGTTTTCTTGTACAAGTATTAAACATGAAAATAATAGTATTCTATAAGTATATTCAAATTTAAAATTTGGGTTTTCTGGAAAAGTGTGGCACATTTTGTGTGCTCACAGGAAAAGAGAGTTAAAAAGATAATAAACCAAACTGTACTACTCGTATACATGGGCTTGTAAGATAATTTGGGATGTTAAAAATTGAATTTAGATCCATATATTGTTCCCCACAAGGAAAACAATACATAATGAAGATCACTCTATGCAAGAATGTCAAAATTTTAGACATAATCAATATTTAAGGTATTTTACATCCTTTGAAAAAATAAAATGTTTTCATAATTAAGGCAAAGTGATTTCCTTTGTTTACTGTCTAAATAACATACTCATTTCTACAGTTTTTTAAGAATATAAAAATATTTTATAATAAATATCAGTAAATATTTATTAGTAACGCACCATAAGTATTAGTAATAGAAATAAATATTACTCTTAGAACTCAAAGAACCCAGAGGTCTGAAACAATCTAAGCTATCACACAGTAGCAGTCTACATGGCCTCCCTGAGAAACAGCGACCCAGTTCCTTCTCAACTCCACCAGACACTCACTGCTTCACTGTCAGCTCATTCCCCTGCTGAACACCTCTAGTTGCTTAAAAATGTGCAGTAGAAATCTGCTTCCCTAAAACATCCACTAAATCCTTCATGTTACCTCTGCTTTAGGATATTTCCAACTTACTCTGTAATTCTTACACAGAGTCAGACCCTTACTGCAGAATCAGTGGCCTAAGAGATTCATATATATTCAAAAAAGAGGGTGGAATAAAGCAAAGTGGAGATACATCCAATGAAGTATCATCTAAACAGTCCTCAAAAGGCCCCCCACACTGCAGTGCACCATTTGTAGGGGCCAGTCCTCTAGCCTATAGGTGCAGAAATTTGATTTTACAAAACCTTATAACTGAGTGGGCTGAGGAAGCTGACTTGTATCCAAAAAACACACAGAAATTAAGGACCCATTAAATAACTCAAACAAAATATATAAATGTCAAACTGATAAGATACTCAGATGGTACTGTCAAAGCCATTTCCAATTTGTAGGCTGCATAGAAGTCAGTTTATTTTAAGACTGTTTAGAGAGCAGAGGATGAGATCAAAAGAAATGCCTTAATAGTATCAGGCACAGATAGTCTAGTGCATCCATCTCTGCAACTGGTGTCACCAGTTCAAGTTAGCTTCTCAGGACAGCCTGAGAATGCTTGAATATATAATACGACTGGACTTTCAGAAGCTGCTTCTGCCTGGCTGTAAGCCTTGTCCAAAGGGAAATGATCTTTCTTCAAATCTTTGGATAAGTTTAGTCCAGTTTCACACTGTCATAGTTCTACTTTGATCTATAAGGAGCCACTTTGATAGATTCTCTGAGTGACATCTTATTTCCAGCTTTTTGGGGAGAAAAAAGCAGGGATAACAATAAACATACACCCCTGCACACACAGCCTGCCCTTGGCTGTATTGATGTAGACTCTCAGATTCTGCGCTTGGCCCTGCCCCTTTCTGCCCACCTACCTTTCTTGACTTGTGGTAAAGTAAGACCATTGCTCCTGTCTCTGGCTCCCTCATCTCTCTCTCTCTCTGTAAGCACCAGGATGGAAACGCTATGCATAGCTATGCTTCGGAGCACCCAGCTCCTCCAGTGCTTGTCTGGAGTGTGGACTAGCAATGGGCGTGCAGCCCTCTTAGCTCTGCTGCAGTCACTCAGATCAAACCAGAAGTTGTTTCTTAAAATGTTCTGAGTATCTTTTAGAACAAACCATTTGTGAACATTTAAACAGAAAACTAGTCAAGGATTTTAAACAAAGACAGGAAAAGTTTCTACTGTTATCTCTCTCTCTCTTAGAAGAGTGAGATCCCTACATTAAATCTCTTTTTAAATGGAGGACAGATACCCTACAGACTTTCAGAGTTATCAGTTCTATAATTTTTAATCTTTAAATGCTTTTAGTATTGTTTGAATACCTATGCATAAACATCAGGATTATAAATACTATGGCCCATACACATATTCAGTTAGAATATTGGATTTCTGTGTCTGTCCATTCTTAATATACTTAAATTTCATTTCTAAAATATGTCTATTGCATTACTAGAAGTGGTTATATATTCAGGTTTTCAATCAACTGGTATATTTGGTTGGATTGACTATAAATTTGTTGACATATATTGATGATTCCTCATTTTCTTGTCCAGTAATCATTTCTTCTACTCATTTATTTTCAATATCTCTCCATTCTTATTTGACAGTATCCCACAAATAGAGTACTCCAAGCTCATAAGGAATGGTGTAAACTAATTAGCAGATTTTATGTGGAAATGCTTGCTTTTCCCAGGTGATCGCCCCATCTGAGTAATGAACTTAATAAAAAAAACACCCAGCTTTTATCACACTAGGGCAACAGGTTCACTCAAACAAGTTCTTATTTTGCCCTTGGTCTTCAATTTATAATCATGAATATGGTACAAATCCAGAAACAAATGGTATGGGGTTAGGGAAAAAGTTAAAAATAAAATAGCCTAAAAAACAATTCTGAGTTAAGAAAATTCTTGATCTTCTTTTGCAACTGACAGAAAGAAAAATGTCCCTAATAAAAATATACTGTGGCTGAAATCTCAGTATATAACTGAAACATAGGGAAGTCACAGAAAGTTCTTCTGCATGCAGGTGTGCAAAAGCACTGAGGGGTTACTAACGAACACTAAATAGGAGTGTCTAATAGTTTGTCGTGGGGAAAGGATCCAGAAATAGGAGTGAAAATCAGTGCTGGTTCATTACATCAGCAGTAAGGCCAGCAATCCCCCTGCAAAGGTTGCCTTTAAACAGCAGGTGCATGGTTTAACTACTCTAGCTTAGAGCCCTCTGGCTGTGGCCCAGAATGAGCCCAGTCTTCTCCAGGGGTTCATGAATGACCACAAGCCACTTCAAGGTGCATCTAAATGCCATGGTTGCCCTACTTCTATTTCGGTCACACATTGAATATTGGATATTTCATTCAATACTAATCCATTTCAGTTTTGGTGTTTGCTTATTGTAGATACAATTTGTTACCCAAAACACCATGACACAAAATTCTAAAATAGTTTGGAAGAATTGAAGAAACCAAAAGAAGAAAATTCAGCCCTGGCTGGCGTAGCTCAGTGGATTGAGCACAGGCTGCGAACCAAAGTGTCACAGGTTCGATTCCCAGTCAGGGCACATGCCTGGGTTGCAGGCCATGGCCCCCAGCAACTGCACATTGATGTTTTTCTCTCTCTCTCTCCCTCCCTTCCCTCTCTAAAAATAAATAAATAAAATCTTTAAAAAAAGAAAATTCTGTATATGTTCAGTTTTTTCATTGAAATGTTTTACTCAGTTTAATGGCAGTTATCATAGTAGAAATATTATAATGCAAAAGAAGATCACCTACAAAGGTAAAAAGTCACAGATAAAGAACAAATGAATAATTTAAATTCCATCTCCAATCTCTCCAGCACATTTATTGGAAATCCTTTATTAATTCAGATATGTAATTTGAAATGTTGCCCATCATACCAATGTATGTAAAAATTCCAACACAAGAAAGCACTTAACATATTTAGCAATTTATTCAAAACTTTAATGTTTTGCAGATGGCACCTAGATCTTAAAATGTATAGATATATTACAGCTCTGCTTAAATGTAAATAATACATTTGTCTGATTCACTGATACTAAATGTATGCTTTTTTCTCCTGATGATTACACTCATCATCCATGACTGTCAGTATAAATGATAAAAGAAACTCTATAATAAAAATTATACCCTTATGTGAAAAAATAAGAAATAACATGTTTCATAAGATGAGTAATTCATTCTCAATATTCCATTACTGCTGGCCAATTACTGTGGTATTGAAGGATATCTTTAGATGGATGTCGAGAATGTTATATTGCTCATGTGTTTGGGTAAGAATTTTAAAGTATATCAGATTTCAGATTATAGAAAAGACTCAAATAGACTAAACTTTATATTATAAAATGAGCACATAAAGAATCAAAAGACTGCTTAGAGATGACATTACAAATATGAAGCAAAAGTATTTGGACTAACAAAAGTCAGAAAAATATTTTAATATATCTTCAGGAATATGAGAAAACAAATGAAACTTGTTAATGACAGAGGAAAAGGTTCATTTTAAAATCCAAGTTTTTCTTTATCATAAGTTTAAATTTCAAATAATGTTGTTGACATAGACCAAATATTACGCATTACAATACCCTTACAGCATTCAGTACGTACTGTGCTCTACTGTGCTCGTATCTACATAAGTGATTCTGAAATAATGTTTGCTGTTTCAATAGCTTTATTTTGGTAATTAAAAATGTATGGGTGCTAATAGAATTCACATTCACAATAGATGAAAAAGGCCTAAAAGAATATATTTGTTGAAATTTGCATTGGGTTTTGGAAAACATCTGTTTAACTATTGAATGCAGTGATATTTTAACTTTTAAGCTCCCACATTGAGAAAGTATCAAGGTAACCTCAGCAATTTTCATAGGGACATTATTCTAGACTTTGATATTCAAAAAATACGATATTTCTTCTTGAATTATTTTATGATCAATGTTCAGTCTCTACACAAGAAAAATTAAGGCTGTCTGACAACTCATGGACACATTACTGACTGTTAAAGATGTTGCATAAAAGCATGAAAAGTACTGGGTAATTTTGCAGTTCCATCTCTAAACACAATTGTAAAGACGCCTGTCTTTCAATTCTCCCTCTTTTCTCTGAAGCATGGCCTTTTAGCTCCTGCCCTTTTAAATATTTTTAACGACTGTAACTTTGCTTCTTAATGTACTGGTTGATCTTGTGGGGCTAAGAAAGTATTCACAGGGTGCTTGCTTTTATCTGTATTCACAGAGAATGCTAACAAATTAGAAGAAAGTGCCAGAGAACACCACATACCTTGCCCAGAACATTACAATGGCTTCTGCATGCACGGCAAGTGCGAACATTCTATCAATATGCAGGAGCCATCTTGCAGGTAATGTTTTCACTCTTTAACATTTGAAATGTACAAAATAAACATGTAGAAACCAAATGCTGGATGTTTACAGAGAATTGGATGCCATTCTGCCTGAATGGGTGATCAGCAGCGAACTTCTCTCTGCCTCTCCTACACACATGCACACACAGGCACCCACTAGAAAACCATGAACGCATGTGCCTGGCACACCCAGGTAATATCGCATCATTTATATACACTTTTAGTAGAATTTTAAATTGACTTTGGGCATTACAAGCTCCTTAAAGACACAGGCTCCTCTGTTTTATTCACCCTCTTCCCCATGGATACAGAACAGCACTTGGCACATATCAGGTGCTTAATTAGAAATATTTCTCAATCAAGTAAATGGGGAAAGCTTTGCTGTATATAAGATGACACAGTTACTTTTAGGAGGCCAACTTTTTCATAGTCCTTTGGGTCTTAAAACAAATATCGCCAATCTTAGCTTTGCTAGGCACATCAAATCTTTTCTGTGGATCTACTGTCCACAGACCTTGTCTGCATAATGAGATAATAAGCTATACCTCCACAGATTCACACTCAGTTGAGACACAAAGAAATTGCTTACCTGGATTTTGTTAATAAATATACATATCTGCTAAATATTTATGAAGATAACATAATTATTTCAAATATGGGAAAGCCAGAGTGAAAAATAAATGTGTTTTTATTAAAGGAATGTACAAGTGACCTATGGTGAAATAGGTTGTATATAGCTATACAGGAAAGGAGTTTCTCTCCCTCTGTCTTTCTTCTCTTCTCTCTTTACCCCCTCCTCCTCCCATACACCTCTCTTCTCAGGAACTGTCTCCTTTCATGTTTTCCTTCTCTGAATACATTAGCGCCAGCCTTCCACTGAAGCCGGGCAAAGTGAGCATAGCTGAGAGGTTGCTCCAGCTGGCCTGTCATCCTCTACAGAGTTGCCATTATTAAACCTTTCTGAGGCAGACAGGAAAGATCCCAGGATGCAGTTAGGAGAAATTCAAATTGAAATACTAAAACAGTTGTACAAAGTAAGGGACAAATTGATCCCCATCAGTATTGTTTTTATGTGAGCTGTTCTCTGGTTTCATTGGGAGATGCTACTTGTAATAGGCAGATTATCTGCCTGAGCTCTCTGATGAGGACTGAGTGAGAAGCAGCATTCATTCTCAGATGAACAGCACATGGGCTTGTTTTGCAAAACTGTATCATCTACATCATAATTACTTCCTTTTTCTACTGAAATTTAACTCTCTAACATAAGCAGACAACTTTATGACCAGCAAATTAAAGAAATTACTCTTACTGCACCTCTGGCCCTAACATTTTTATCATGTATTCTAATAGTATAGAGAATGCTGTATCCAAAAATCAATACATCAATGAATCAACAAATAAAATAGCCTTATTTTTTATATCCATGTCATCAAAAAGAAACCTTTATTTTTTCAGGTAATCATATTGACTTAGGCTGATGAAGAAACAAGTTAAATAAAACATAAGGCTTACCTGAAAAATAAATATAGAAAGAACAATGATCAAACTTTTTATTCTAAGCATAAAAAGAAACTACATATTTTTAAAAAATAGAAACACAAAGAGATCTTTTTTGAACATAAGAAGTGGAGAACTAAATCTACAGAGTAGATTTTCTTTCAGAGAAGGAAATGAAAAGCCCTGCTTTCATGATGAAGATAAATGCTTATAGGGCAACAATAAAAAGAAGTCCAGAAGCTTCAGGTAACTAGACATTATCATTTCTTCCAGGTGTGATGCTGGTTATACTGGACAACACTGTGAAAAAAAGGACTACAGTGTACTGTATGTTGTGCCGGGCCCTGTACGATTTCAATACGTCTTAATTGCAGCTGTGATTGGAACGATTCAGATTGCCGTCATCTGTGTGGTGGTCCTCTGCATCACAAGGTCAGTAGCTGCACTCAGTGGCCACCCAAATAAAGGGAGGTGGTGTTCCTCCTTGTCTTAACCAGGTCACTCTGATTATGAGTCCTTTCATGGACTCTGCAACCACCCATGCTCTGGAGACCTCCTTCTTCATCAAAAGAGCATTTGAATAACCAAATGGAAAGATACTGAGTTTCATGATGGAGTACTACAGATTTTTTAAAGATTTTATTTATTTGTTTGTTTGTTTGTTTGTTTGTTTGTTTGTTTTTAGAGATGGGAAGGGAGGGAGAAAGAGAGGGAGAGAAACATCAATGTGTGGTTGCCTCTTCATGTCCCCCACTGGGGATCTGGCCTGTATCCCAAGCATGTGCCCTGACTGGGAATCAAACTGGCAACCCTTTGGTTCACAGGCTGGCACTCAATCTGCTGAGCCACACCAGCCAGGGCCAGATTTTTTTTTTTAATTTTTGCATTCTAATGAAGATTATTTACTTTCTTAGCAAAGGTCTTTTTTCCCCCCTCTTATGTATAATTCCAGTCTTTGTTTAAATACAGTCTTCTCTTTCAACTACAAAAGTCAGGCCTGATTTAAACTTTTAACAGACTATTTAGATGACCAGTGTTTCCTTATTTATCCAGATCAGTATGCTGAATGAGGTTAAAATAGATTTTAAATGAAGCCTATAAAAGTATCCAATTATATATCTCATTTATGGCACATATTTCCTAGTGTAACTCTTAGATATAATCATTTTAACATATTTGATATAAACAAAAATATATTTTTATCTTAAGTTAACAAAAGAACTTTTAATCACAAAATTCAGAGTAAATAATTACAATGACAAAAATTATGTCATAGTACATATAAACTTTTGATATATGGAAATGTACAGCAAATGTCAAAACAAGGTTTTCTCTCAAACCTCCAGGACAATTAAATGGCAACTGTTTCCCAGAGAGCTAGGTTGAGAAAGATAAAAAGATGTCATCCAATTTCAACAGGACAGAAAATCATGATTAATTAGTGATACATGACATTGGGCTTGAAGTAACGGAGTGAGGCCAGGTACTTGCTTAGCTCTGTTAGTGTGCCCATTCATGGTACCAGGAATTAGATTCTAAACCAAACGTATATCGTTTATGTCCTGTCTAGCCAGAAACATTATTGAAGATGGTTCTTTCTGATCTGTTTTTACTCTCCTTGAGAAAAAAGTTCTAAGGATGTTTTCAAGGTTTTTGCCAAATTCACAAGGCATTTAGATTTTTCATTCGTTTGCACAGCTCTACAGTAAATCAGAATGGTTCCCAAAAAATTATTTTCAAAAGGGAAGAAAATAAAAGAAAGCATCATACCTTTAGAAAATAAAGGCAGTAATATATCTTACTCTCTGTATCGCACTGTCTTCTTTGAGGACAAGTGTGGCATTTGCTCTTGAAAAAGACAAAATGTGGTTCATAAATCCTTGCCCAGCCTAAAGGCTTAAGGGAAGATCATCGACTGGAGCTTTGTGTCGCTCTAACACAAGTTGAGTCCATCAGCTAGACTCGCACATTTAGATGCCAAGTGAGTCAGTGGATTATATTAAAATAGATTCTGGGAAACATAAAGATGACTCAAGAAACCAAAAACACTGAGTATGAAAGAAAAGATAGAATAGAATCTACAACACAGGAAACTGTGCCATATTATACTGAGGGAGCTTTCTAATATCTAAGCAATATCAGAATATGAAAAACAAAATTTATATGTAGTAGATATAATCTCATCACAATTGAATTTGCTACTTCAGGTCCTGATGAAGATGCAAAACATTAAATAGCAAGTGTTTTCAAGTCTGTTATTAATCACAGTGCCATTCCCATGCATAATAAAAACAACTGGAATATGTAGGTCCTAACTTCACCATATATATATATACACATACATATGTGTATGTATATATATGTATTTACATAATATATGTATATATCCTTTATGTGTATACATACACACAGACACATATGTTTAATAGCATGATATAGAAGGTACAATTATCCCCATTTTCAAGGTAAGGACTCTGAGGTATGAGAAGTTAACAAAAGGCTGAGTGTACCCAGCTGAACAATAAGGGTAGAAATAGAGGGCTGCCTACTGTCAGAGCCTTGCACTTAACCACCTAACCTCTGCTCGTGCTCACCCTTGGCTGGCCATGATGTTGTATATTGCAATGGTCAAGGTAGCCTCAACCGAGCTCCAAATTACAGCAAGCCATTTTTTCAAGGCATGTGGTCATTATGTTAAAATGAACAAAACCTATCTTCTATTTACTTTTGAGGAAGGGAAATAGCTCATGAACTAAATTAGCATTACTGTAATGCTAATTTAGGACATCCAGGCCTTCCAAAGTCTTTCCCGGGGTCAAACTAGTCAATAAACTACACTGTTCCAAGTGGGAATTAATTTTAATTACTCAAAAACATTCTGCTCAAAAACCAGGCATTCCAACTTGGCCATTCCCCACTACCAAAACCCTCCTTTCTTGGTGACCTGGACTCATGTGTCTATCAAGATTGATTCCAAAATGTCCAGTTGCTAAAAGATTTTAAAAATTGCACGAAGCAGAGATCCTCTCACTCTTCAGTTTTTTAACCTCTTCATCATCTGGTCTCTCCCCTTTTATACTTTTTTCTTCCTTTTCTCCTTGCCCCACTTTTTTTCCTAATTTCTTCCCCTTGTTTTTACTGTTTTAGTCAAGCACCTGCCTTCTTCCTAAATATGACATGTATTATAAAAAAGTAAATATCTGGAGAAATAAAAAGAATTGCCCTGTTGAGAAGATGAATTTTCAATCTTTTTATCTCTAGCTCCCACTTGCTAAAATGTGACTTCTGGCTCCATGTTCATTTTGATAGATCTACCCTCTGCACCCCCCAATATATATATATTCTTTTTATTTATCTATTCTCTAATACAGCTTATTATGATAAGATTTTTATGAACTTCATGTTTTTCTCATTTGCATCATCAAAGCCTTTTATGCTTTGACAAGAGTTACTAGATCAGAGTTTTTCAGATAATTTGACTGAATATTAGCTTTTATAGAAGCTAAATAACTGGTACCAATTTATGTCCTTAGCTTATAGTATTAACACAAAAAAAATGATATTAGGCTCAACCAAAATAATGTGTTTTTGCATTGTGAACAGTTAGCTCCTTCTCTGGTTTGATGGGATTTAAACTTGTAGCATTGAAATGTCAATATAACAGTCATCCTTTGGAAATTTAAAATATAAAATTGCTAAAGACCTTTAAAGTGAGATTAGAAGGGCTCACAGTTTGCTTGATTGCACTGTGCTCACTCTCTCTGTGCTGCAATGCGTAAACGGTTGAGAACCAGGTAAACATGTTCCTCTTCAACATCCACCTCTGTGCTTCAGTTCTCCTCAATGTGCACTTGAAGACGACTGCAACTTGGCTACAGTACTAATAAATTATTTTATCTGAACTATTTTAATAACTTGCTTAATCTACAACTTCACTCTGTGATTGCAGGACCAAACTTTAGGTAATAGCACTGGACTAAGCTTTGTATACTTTCCAACCTTCTAGGAAATGCCCCAGAAGCAACAGAATTCACAGACAGAAGCAAAACACAGGGCACTACAGCTCAGACAACACGACAAGAGCATCCACGAGGTTAATCTGAAGGGAGCATGTTGCACAGTGGCCGAAATACCGAGAGCTTGGACTACACAATACAGTATTATAGACAAAAGAATAAGACAAGATCTACACATGTTGCCTTGCATTTGTGGTAATCTACACCAATGAAAACATGTACTACAGCTATATTTGATTATGTATGGATATATTTGAAATAGTATACATTGTCTTGATGTTTTTCTGTAATGTAAATAAACTATTTATATCACACAATATAGTTTTTTCTTTCCCATGTATTTGTTATATATAATAAATACTCAATAATGAGAAAAAATGGCATTCTTAACTTTGCGGTATCTCACAACTGTAAATATAATCAATATAGTACAATCTCTGCAGGTACTGGTTTTTCATCTTTCTCCACATCTTGAGACATGGCATTAGTTTACACAGGACTCAGTGGCTAGGGTTTGAGTGGTTCCCAGATCAAAGGAAATGATTGTTATTAGAAAAGAAAAAAAATAATTTACTTTATATCAAGTGAGGATAAAGTATTTCAGATCTTTGAATTACCTCTATTTCATCAACTTTCTTCCTGGTCCTCTGTTTTCATCCCCAGAGCAGAAAATCTCTGTCATATAAATTAAATCAAAGAAAAAGGAAAGGAAACATGTTTTAACTCATAACAGAGAGGGAAAGAAGATATTCGTTTTTATTTGCAAAACACCTTAGGTTAAATGCATATATCCAAGTTATGCATATATTCCAGTTAAATGCATATATCCAAAGGGTCCTGAACAAGTTAAATATTAATACTACACGGAGCACAAAATCTGTTCCATTTAGGTGAGTGGAATTAACAACTACCAGAAAATTTTAATAACATCATTAAATGTAAAACACCAAAATCATGAATTCTTTGAAGAACCTTACTATATTTATAGTATACAGTTCTTTAAAAAGAAGTTTGAGTCACAACCAAATCTCTCATGAATAGCCTTATGATTAATGCAGCACCATTATTTGAAATGGAACTAAGATGATGATGATATTTTATAAAAAAAGAAATATGTTTGAAGCACATTTATATGATGAGATAAAAAATGAATCCCATGGCATCTGAAAGAGCTTAGTGGGCAGTTGGTGGATATTTGAGCATACAAATAGGTAGGACTACTTTGGGAAAAAATTAACAAAATTTCTCAAAGAAAAAGATAAAAATAACAAATCAAATAATTGCTTTGTATTAGTTAGTTTTTCACAGCTTTCTGTGGCAAATATAGTAAATCTAAATAAAGCTTTCTTGTCTTCTTCAAATTACCTCTACATGAGCTAAAAGGAGTGACACTCTTATGTCAAAAACACACACACACACAAGTATCAAATCACATTCTGAATATAAAATATTCAGTGAAAAATATGGTTCCTTAAGTGGTATTTAAGGTATTTGCCAAAACCTTGAAAGGGGATGATCTAAGTAGCATTTAGGATGCTGTGAAAAACCTGTTTTTCTAGGTTAGTCATCAATTTGAAAAGTGTGAATCTATTGGCATAATCATCATTCAGGTGTTTCCATATATCGGTTCTATGCTTCTTGTACAAAACAAACTCCATTCAAACTTCTGCATGGAATTTTGGTTTGGGTAACAGGTGCAGAAATGTTACTAGTCCTGATCTCCTTTGTAAGACAGGAGTTGTGGCAAACAAATCATCCTCCTACAAGAAAAGCAAAAATGAAACATCACAGGATTTATAGAGCTTAAAAAGAAACAATTTCACTGACTTTTACTTGTATGTATGAAATTGACTTGCTTTGTTAAGTATTAATACATTACTTTGTATGAATTTTTACCAAAGCATTATAAACCTGAGTGTTGAAAAAGTCCTTGGAGTTAATAATATAATACATTCTTGTTCATCTCCATGCTTACCCACTTCATGAAAGAACCCCTTTGAAAAGATGCAATAACAAATCTTAAGTGAGCATATGCTATACACCAGGCACTATTCAAGGTCCTAGGGAAACACAAATGAAACATGATCTTTACTATAAAGGAACAATCTAGTCCAGACAGATAATCATATTGCCTCTATTTGCATATTTCTTATAATTTGGACCTTGAAAGCTTGTTTGGAAATTCTAGCAGGGGAGCACAGCTACTCATTTACCCTGGACCAAAGACCAGTCCTCTCCTCTAGTTGGGAAGGTTGTCCTATTCAACCGAGCTTGCAGCTTCAGGAGAGATACATGTGGATCAGTGAGAAAGGAAGGGGACACCTGCCTAGCCAGCCAGATCGGCCACATCAACCCTGACGATCAATGGGGTGACCCATGTCACAGCCAGATTGCCCTCACATACGAATTTGGAATTCCATTCTTAGGCAATTTCAATTTGGGGACCAATTTTTCTCATATTGAGTTAAAATTTATTTCTCTATGGTTTCTACCCATACTATTTTACCTCTCTGGAACAAAGGAATAATGAATTATTTATTTTAAAATATTAGGGCAGATACCATGCTTTTCCACTCACCCACAGTCCATTTGCAAGTATATTTTCCTCTTCACATGAGACATCCGTACTGTCCTCATCTGATCTTCATGTACTATGGTTTCCACATCTCCCTAGCACCTGCATCATCCTTCCTTGGGCAAACTCTACCTTGTCAATATATTTCTTTAAGTGCTGAACTCAGAATTGCACAGATTACTGCAGCTGTGATCTCACCAGCACAGCACATAATCAAATTTACAGAAACCAAATTTAACTGGGAGCCATGGCCTCTAAATTCAAGTCCTGCTTTGACCACAGATTTGCCACGGAACTAAGAGCAGGTTATTCCACATGTCATATCTCAATTTTCTCTTTCATTCCAAGATTCGAGATCATCAAACCCAGGCTCTATACATTTATTATCGTTACCTAAGACCACATTCACTGTACTTGCTGTCCACAATTTAAATGCAAAACTCTTTCTAAATAAATTGCCATTAAGCCTCGTCATTCACTCATCCATTCATCCCTTGATGAATTCATCTCTTGATTCATTGTCCATTATACATGCACTGAGGGCCACCAATTGTCGGCACCATGCTCATCTATGAGAGGACAAAGAAAAATAAGCCGGAGTCCCTGCCTGAAATGAACTCACCATCAGATCCTCTTGGTCCCTTATATCAAAGATCTCATAGCCCATGGGGAACATTGAGAAGTAAAGAATTATAAAGAATGTAACAAAGGCTGTGAAAACAGGGACCCACCAGACCAAATATCCAGCTGCGTAGATGTGCGTCTTCACAGTGAGATTCACAGGTTGCCTTCATTCTCCACACAAACTCCGCCCACTTGCTTCAGAGATTTCACCCACTCCTCATGCGCTCTTCGTGCCCTTCTTCTCTTCACGATACCGAGAGCAAAAAACAGCTTATCAGTGAGGCCTCCCTGACTCCCTTGGCAGTCTTCCAAATTCTGTTATGCTACTATCCATGTTATTTCTTGATTTCCCATGCAAGTCTGTCTTTCCCTTAGCCTGGGAGCAGCAAGAAGGCAGAAAATCCATGCCTTGCCTGTTGTTTCCATGCATTCAACGAACATTTATGGGGTGCCGACACCATACCAGACACTATTCTGGGTGCTGTTGTGTGGCAATGAAGTGAATAACAGGTATCCACTCTCAGGTTGGCATTCTAGCAGAGGAAATGGAAAGTGAAGATGAATTAAACAATAACAACGGCAAAACTGTTAAGTTCTATTCAAAGAATTAGAACTGGCATGAGGTGACTCAGGCTGACTGGGGGGTTCCTGGGGATTGGGTCCTTCCAAGGAGAGGGTAGCATTTAAAACTTGGCAGTCTGAAGCAAAAAGAAATGGGCTCCAGGCTAGGGTTCGCTTTATTACTCATGGGCTCCAGGCTAGGGTTCGCTTTATTACTCATCAACTTTGGACAGGCTGCCCAATTTCCTGACACCTTGTATTTAAAGCAGAAAGAAAGATGGCTTCTGTGCCCACTGTGGCGGTTAGGAGGAATAAACAAGAAAATCCATGTTGGGCTTAGCACAATAGTATGCACATAATACACCTTTAATATATGAAAATTATTTTCAGGGAGGTAAGATGTGTATTTTTTGTAAAAGTAAATAAGAAGAACAAGCTATATTTCATCAGTTAAATAAAGCCTAATGGAATCATATGGTCAGAGTTAGAAGGAGTCATTAATCACACTTATTCAAAGGGGTGTCTCATACCTTTGGAGACGAGAGCTGGTTCTGGAAAAATAAGGCAATATCGAGTTAAGAAACAATACAGCTTCTCTATTTTTTTTCAAATGAGTCTGCTGGTATCATATTTGAACAAGAGGAAGGGCCATTCTTTCACTTTAAAAGAGGTTGGCTGCTGAAGCACACACCCTAAACCTCTCATGTGTTTCTAGGCCCAGGACAAGTCAACACTGCATCAGCTCTGCAGGGCCACGTTCTTCATTCTCAGGAGTCCTTGAGGGGACGTCAGGGCAGACTGTCGGAATATGGCACAGGTGATCTCAAAGTCATACCAGAGCCTCCACTAATGTTTATCTTCTGACGGTTCTCCCCATCCCCAAAGCCTTGCAGCATCTGCACCAGCTGTTACTGTTCCTCGGTTATAGCAGATATTTCACTTATGTAATTCATCAGCTGGAAATCAATAGCAGAGAGAAACCTTTTCATTGAATTAACCAATATCTTTAAATGAGCATTCATATTATGTAAAAAATGAAGGATCATATAAAATCATGCTAATGGTTTTTGTAACCAACACATAAATATACAAATAACTATAGCTTTTCAAACTCAGCATCAGGAAGGTGCAGGCTACCCAGTCATATTTAGGTCTCCTACCAGCCTCACTCTGGACAAAAATGTACTTTGCTGGCATACCCACTCTGCGAATGCTACCTTGATTGTTATCTGTCTCCAGCAATACTAAATAAGTTGTTTTAGCTTAAATTTTTTGTTTACTATTAACTTTTTGATTAATTTGCATTATTTCTCTTACATCAGGTAAGACGTTAAAAAGTAATGCTTTGCTTTATTTTTTCTAAACCAAATTAATTCAGCACATGAAACTAACTCAAAGTTAGTGAGAATTCCAAAATCAGTTTTCATGGGGGTCAGGGGGATAGGGGGGACAGAAGCAAGTTTTGGTTTTCGACCTCTACTGATGCCACTGCCATTGCTAAACCTGCCAGCCTCCCTGACCCATCACAGGCACTCCCTCCACACCAGGCTTAGCCACAGTGATCTCCTAA